GGGTAAGTTCCAGGGGGTTCTCTGGCTCTGTTCCCCAAGGTACTTGGGTGGGCACCCTGGGGTGACGCCAAGAAAGGAACCGAGTGAGGGGCTGGACCCCGAAGTCCTGGGTTCGAGACTCAGCTCTGATACCGGCTCCCTGCCCCCATGGTTACTCTCCCCTCCCCTCTGCCTCCCTGTCAGCCCTGAGCAGAGGCCCCTTACCTGGCCCTAGGGGGGGTGCACTTCTGGGAACAAGTGCTGGATGGGGAGAAGAGGAGGAATGGAGATGGGAAATGTGCCTGGGTGGGGAATGGAGAAACCACACACTTCTCCAGGGCAGCACTATCTTCCTTCATGCACAACAGACCACACCCCGAGCCCGGATTTTCTTCAGAGCAACGAAGCACAGAGACCCAAATCCTACATGGCTTGATTCATGCTCCACAGTACAGAGATTTTTTTTTTTTAAATGACAAGGAAAAAGAAAAGGTGCCCTCTCTGTAAACATCGCCCATGGATAACCAGCCAGGTGCCCCTGGTCTTTCACAGGTGCTTTACATTATGTACAGTTTGATTTGAAACACACACACACACACACACACACACACACACACACACACACACGAACACTTGGAGTGTCGCAGTCAGGCTTGGAGGGTATCGACGTGTACACGTGCCGTTTCCTCGTCACAGGAGTGCCTGTGAGCATCTCCTTGGACGGGTAGTGGTGGCGCGGACCCCCCTGTGATGGCCAGACACCAAAACAGATTGTGTGGACATGACCGGGTGAGTGGGAGAAGCATCTGGATCTGCCACTGTACCCCTCAGCCAGCCCTGCACACCCAAACGAGACAGGGAAACCAGAAGGTCCGATTTTGGTCTCAAGAGCAAATAAGCCCTGTTTCTGGGCTGATGATTGCCTGCGAGTGAGTGTTTCACGTCTCCCCCGTACCAACCAACGCACGGGGCATCCGTCTCCTCCTCCGCTGGTGGCCCCTTGGTTTCCCATCTCTCTCTCTCTCTCTCTCTCTCACACACACACACACACACACACACACACACACACACATACACACATGCACCAGCCGCCAATGGGGTCCTGGTTTAGCAATGACGCCTGGTCCCCTTATCCAGAAACTTCCGCATCACTCTGTAGCCAAAGACACAGTCCCGGGCTATAAAGAGGCGTAACAAATCTATTCAGCACAGCTGAACGATACTTATGTTTCACAAATGAGTATTTAGTTTAGGTCTTCGACTGCTAGAGATTTCTGGGCAAGGTATTTATTTATATGACGGCTTGTTCATTAACACAGCACTTTTTGGGTTGAAAGGAGATAAATTTTTAATCACCGTTCAATTAACACCAACTCTCCACCCCTCCCTGTTTTTTTTTTTTTTTGGTCCCATTAGCAATTCTATTTGCAGAGAATTTAGGACATTTGTCATTTCCTGAGAAGGGATACAGAATACTAAAAACACCATCCAGGAGAATGAACGGGGGGTGGGGGCGGGGGCTTCTGACTAATTCTCTACCTTGGCCGGGGGCCCACCTAAGCGAAACTCTTTCATTTGTAAACAAAGTGCAATTTTCAGTTCTCTCTCCTGAAAATAAGTGTGAATTGATTGGATGGATGTGGTGGCTAGAACGGAATCGTAATGCTTTCCGCTGAAAGGGGGCCTCTGGGAATTCCCTGGGTGCCCTCTGAGATTGGGGGGGGGAGGGACACGCCCCATGCTCGGTCCAACTGCACCCACTGATGCCCTGAGGTTTGAGAGGGGCAAGAAGGTCGGGGGTGACATTGACCCCCACACAGGCCGGGGGTTGGAGGGCGGGAGTGGGGCCATGGGCCTCACCTCAGAGAAGTCTCAGAAGTCAGCAGCCCCCTGCCATGGGACCAGGCGTTCCAGAGCCACATTTGAGGCTCTTTGGGCCGCTCCCCACCCCTCCCCACAGCAGGCGGGGGCCGTGGACAGGGCCATGGGCCACTGGACTGTCGCAAGCGGATAAACCAGCCACACGGCATGAAGGGGTGCCCCTCTCAAACCTCAGGGCATCAGTGGGTGCAGCTGGCACGAGCATGGCATGCACGGATGCCAGGATGTTCAGGTTCCAAAGGGTCTGGGCTCTGAGGTGTCCCCACGTCTCGGCTTTCAGGGCCAGGAGGATGTTCTGGAGAATTTCGCTGGGTCCAGCCCTCAGACTTGCCAGTAAATTCTCACCACCTTGACCCCGTGTTCCATTCCCCAGGGTCCTTTCCCAAAGCCCCAGCCTGACCGGCTGCCCATTACCACCTCCCACTGAGAAGTGCCTGTCGGTACAGGGGTGACTGTCCTTCCCCCAGGATCAGCCCCAAGAAGAGTTGGAGCTGGTGGCGGGGACCGACTCTTGCTTCATCCGACAGCGAGCAGTTCTGGTCCCCATGCGTCCCACACTCCAGGGCTGTTTCTCAGCCACATTCCTCCCAACACTTTCCTGAGTCACGTTTTCTAGTTTCTGAATCCCGAGGGGGTGGGGCTGGGGGGCGGTGGGGGAGCGGGGCGGTTACCGCTGCAATTGGAAAGCGCCTTTCTGGCGATGGGCGTCATTTCCAGAGCAGCTCCCTGTCCCTGGAGATCGCCCCCCTCCTTCTGGACAGAGTGCATCTCGGAGGGCTGCCAGGACACGACTCAGTCTTCTGGGAGGACTCTTTGAGATCCAGCCCAGGATAAAATGCGCCAGGTGTGTGGGGAGACGGGAGCGGGCAGGCTGGGGGCACCAGGGTCTGGAGAGTCCTGGAAGGGTAAGGCAGGAAAATCAAGAAGCAAGAGGGGTGGCTCGGTTTGGACACGGGGGTGACCATCCACCTCAGCTTCCCTACTGTGGGTCTGGGGGTGCAGAGAGCCAACGATGTAAGACTGAGCTCAAGTGACTGTGGTTCCCCTTCAACCGCAATGGCGGTGGGGAGGGTCTCTCGCCCTGCCTCAGCCATGCTCTGCAGACATCTGCCATCATGCTGGGGACATCCTGGGGGAGGGGTATTTTTTCGGAAGATGAAGCCATTGGATGACCCCAACTCTTACGGGATGTTTCCCCAAACCTGCCCGCTCCTCGGGGAGACAACACACACAGGCAGGGGGCCGGGGTGGGTGTCAGGAGGAGAAAGAGGGTCCAATCAACAGGATGTAGCTATTCAATGTCCAACCCCCCCTCACCGCCCCTTCTCCCCACCCCACACTACTTTTCTTCAACAATCAGAAGCAAAACGCACAAGATCAGGAAACATTTGAACTGATCTACACTTGCTAAGTTCCTGCTGCGTATCGTGGGCACACCTGGGGGGTCCACAGTGTCTGAGGGGCCATCCCAGTCACACCCTCCAAGCCCACCAATGAAATGGCCGGAACTCTGAAAAACGAGAACTATGGTTGGCGGGGTTACACATTCCTTTGAAAGTGAGAATATTCTGGTCTGATACACTATCACGATGACCTTTATTGGGGGCTCGGGGGGGGGGGGGGAAGCACTCTCCCACAAGCTCCCCATGCAGCAAAAGCCCCTTCTCTTCGCCCAGTTTGAAAATAATAATGAGGATGGGTTCCTGGCCTCTGCACAGCAGCCATCCACATGGAGATACAGTCATGGCATGTATTCGTAACGACAAAGGCTTCGCAACATTCGTCCTCTGTCTGTGGGGCTGAGAGCAGCTTTGTCTCCCCACTGCAGAGTGATTTTTTTTTTTTTTTTTGGGAAGAGAGGGGTCGCTTGTCCCACGAGAGTTTGGCCACAATGGGGAAGTTGCTCAGGGCGTGCACGCACGCACGCTGGTGCCGCGTGCACGGTCTGAAGGCTTTTGGTTTGAGGAGGTCGGGGCGGCGACAGCGTCTGGGGCAGGTGAGCCTAGAGCGTTTTACGGCTCTCAGCATGAACTGCCACAGGAACCACGCCTGGGACAGCGACACAAGAGTTCAGGAGACACGCAGGGTTGCTCGGGGCAGGCGAAACGAGGGAGGGTTCCTCCGGGAGGGACGGGGGACAGATACTATACAACCCTGAGTCATCACCAGAAGGGAGGGGGGGCAAATTTACGTACACAGGAGTCTTCGGAGGTGGGGTGGGGTGTCCCCCTGGGGGCCGCCCACTGTGCCAGAGCTGGGTGGTGTGCATGGGTCAGACACAGAGGGTTAGGCAGCTCTGCATGAGGCCGTGGAAGCCGTGGGGGGTGGGGGGGGCACCTGTGCACACACCGATGTGTTTTTGCAGCTGTCCACGGTCTTTTTTTTGGGGGGGGGGGAGGCCCTGTGGCCGTGCCCACTGAACATGTCTTGGAAATGGACTGGGATGAAGGTTACCGAGTCACCACGAGCCTGGGATGAAGGTCACCAAGTCGCCACGAGCACAAACCCACCTGCTAGTCCTGCGGGGATGGGGGGGGAGTGGGGCTGAGGTTCAGGGGTCAGGGGCTGGGGTGGGGCGGACAGGTGGCACAATAAAGCAGGACCTTCCCGGCAGTCAAGCTTCCTGATCACTGGCATGGGGTCGGGGGAAGGTTCGGAGGGGAGCGTTCCTCTCCAGCTGCAGGAGCACGCTCTCGGCTGTTTCCACGGGCTGGGGGTCGGGGTTCCATGCATACCATATTGCTTACGCGGAACGGGTGTGGGGGGGGATAACCGGGAGGTGCTTTGAGTGGACATTCCAGGGCCGGGTCGGGCATCACGGGATTGGGAATCTAGGCTTGTCACATCACCGTCGGCCTTCGACGCCTCGCTACTGCCGACTGCTCCGGCGTGCGTATCCAGAGGACGCCCTATGGTGCGCGCGGGTGGATGTGCGTGGGGGGGGTGTGTGTGTGTGCGCGCACGCGCGCAGTGGGGGACTGCTTTGGGTTCAGGGCTCATCCATCTGCTCGACACAGGCCCCCTCCCCGAGTGGAAGCTACCGCATGCAGACGCCAAAGAACCCGCTTCCGCCACTGCCCACCCCCCCGCCCCCACCTGTCCTGGACCCGCCTCCTCTCTGCCCAGCCTGGCGGGGGCGGGGCCCGCCGGCCAACACGTTATTTACCCTCCTTGGAACCTTGGCCATTCTGCAGGTGTCCCTGGGGGGGCGGGGGGTCAGACCATGTGACCAGGAGGTGTTGCTAAACGTCGGATTCGATACTAGGCATTTTCTTGTACACACGTCTATTGCTGCAGGAATTCATAACCCTGGGGGTCGAGTACAGATTATTCTTATTTGCAGCGTAAGGCAGAACATGCTCGGAAATGTACACGTCGCCGTGGCCCCGGCTGTCCCGGGAGCAGTACGAGGCCGTGGACCGCAGGGACGAGCGCAGGTAGCTGTCGCTCATGGCCTGCGAGGGCAGGGAGTGTTTGTAGGGGTCTGAGGGGCACCTCCCGATCACCAGGCGGTGGTCGTTCCCGTAGGAGTGGAGGAAAGGGTTGTCGGAGGCGTGGTCGGGCAGGAGCGACTTGCTCCGCTTGCTGTCCTCCAGGCCCTGGGGGAAGAGGGAGCTCTTGTTGCCCAAGAGTTTGCTGGAGGGGACGCTGAAGAGGCTTCCGTACAGGTTCCCCTCCAGCAGCCGCTCCCGGTCCTTGAGGCTGACGCTGCGGCTGGCCCGGCCGACGGCATCAGCCTCCCGGGCCTTGTCGAGGATGTTGTCGTGTGAACGCTGCCGGCTGATGTGCAGCTTGTTCTTCTGCAGCTGGAGGGCGTTGTTCTGGGCCCAGTCCTGCGAGTAGGCCTCGTCGGGGCTGGCCCGGTGGCCCGTGTCCTGCAGCATCTGGTCCTCGTCGATGTCGTAGAGGTTGCCCAGGCGGAGGCAGGCGTCACACTTGAAGGGGGAGCGCACGGTGAAGTGGCCGGCGTAGGTGGGCAGGTGGGACAGGCAGCTCCGGCAGTGGGTGGAGTTGGAGCGGTAGCGCTCGCTGCCCTCGCTGTGTGGGGAGCTCGTGTCCTTCAGGGTGAGGTGCTTGGAGTAGAGCTTGTAGTGATCATTGTTGGGCAGGCTGCTGCTTCCGTCGCCGCCGCCGCTGGGCTGCGCGTTCCGGGTGAGGGGCAGCGTGGCGTCACCCTTGCGGTAGTTCTCGCCAACGTCCGCGTAGGGATCCGGGAAACTCTCGGGCACAGAGAGGTTGTCCACCAGCTGCGGGGGGTCCAGGTGGAAGCTGGGCTCCTTCTCGCCATCGATGGTGTAGATCTTGTCCCGGGGCGAGCTGGCTTTGGTTTTCAAGAAGGAGCCGCGCTCCGTGGCCTCACTGCCCTCCTTGGGGTACTTGGAGGCCAGTGACCTTTTGAAGTTGTCCTTGGTCTTGTGGTTCTTGCTGTTGTCCGGCTCCCGGTAGGCCGTGGCCCGGCTGGACGCTTCGGAGATGTCCGAGTGGGCCAGCTCCTCGGGCAGGTAGCGCGGGCTCTTGAGCGAGTGGCTGCGGTTCTCGCCGGGCCCGTCCTCCCGCGGGCACGCCGGGTTCTGGCTCAGGGAGTCCTGGCGCAGGGACTCCATGGATTTCTTCCAGAGCTGCCGCGGCCGGGAGCTGCCCTTGGCGTCCGTGCTCACGGCCACCTCCACTGTGTTGGGGTTGGTCTCGTTGAGCGTCAGCGGGTGCTGGCCCGGGAACACGTAGTTGTTGAGGCTGTCCTTGTGCCGGTTGGCCACGAACGTCTGCAGCTCGTTCATGCTGTCGCCGAAGAAGCCGTCCTTGCCCTGGAAGGAGCGGGGGTCGGCATAGATGGGGTTGCCCTTGTCGGGGACCATGTCCATGATGAGGGAGCCCCGGGGGATGAAGTCGGCTGTGCCCTGCGGGGAGTCCATGCGCGGGGGGTTCGCGTGGGGAGCATTGGACATGCTCTTGGCTGAGCGCAGCAGCTTTAGCACGTTGCTCTGGGAGCCACTGAAGTCGGGGGACTTCTTCTTATCCTCGATGTGCACCCCGTGGATGCAGCTGTAGATGCCCTGTGGGGGGAACACGGGACATGGTCAGCCACAGCCCAGCACCAGCCACCAGCCGCCAGCCGCCAGCATGAGACATCTGGTCTACACGGCCTCTTGGCTCTCGATGACACGACACGTGTGCACACGACGATCCATGGCAACACAGGACCCAGGGTGCCCAGGGCGGTCTCTGAGCCTTGCTTTGAGGAAGGCACCCCAGAGTTTTCTTGGGAGCTGGCATACTGGAGTATGAGCGGCAGACAAGGTCAGCAGGAAAAGAGGCCCCTGAAGTTGCTTTCGGGATTGAGCCTGAGCGCGGGCCATGGGGGCAGGAACCCCTGGAAAGTCCTGCCTTAAGCGAGCCTAGGGTGAGACAGAGTGTCAGTGCTCGGTCACCCAGGGGCTTTCGGGAGGGGCAAACAGAGGTGCTGGGGGAGCTGGCGTGGAGGTGGGGACCTAGCTGGGCCGCTGGGGGGACAGCAGCTGACCATGAAGCCAAGGATAAAGAAAAAGAATGGAAGTAAGGGCAAGTGAGAGGGGCTGAAGGCGGGGCCACCTCAGGCTCCTCGCCTACCCCCTTGATACAGATTCCATGTGCACCTGTGTGTACCCATGTGCCACGTGTGCATGTGTATGCGTGGGAGGATGTGTGTGGATGTGTGCGTGTGTGTACACGTGTGTGGGTGTGTACGTGCAAGTCTGTGTATAGGCATATGTGTGTTTGTGTGTGTAGGGGGCATGTATGTACATGTGCGTTTGTGTGCATGTGCGTGCAGGAGTGTGTATGCACGTGTGTGTGCATGTATGCCTACTGGCATTTGAGTTTGGCTGACAGGGGCGAAGGAGCTGGGACTGGCCTGGAAAACGATGATGGTACCTGGGAAATGCCCCGAGGCATGGAGCCCTGCACTTGGGCATCCTCAGGCTTCCCTCTTCGTCTCAGGTGCCCACCCACCTTCCTCTGCCCAGATCCCGGTGAGGTCAGCACTGTCGTGTGCATGAGAGAAACCAGGTTCAAGTGGGAGCCGCGGTGGTACACACTGGCCTCGACATGCTCAACACTAGCCTTGATTCAGAGGAGACTTTGAGGAGATAACGGGGCTCCCACAGGGGTGGAGGTGGAGGAGCAGGTAGAGGGGCCCTTTGGCAGATGGTCATGGGGACCGGGGCGGGGGCAGCGGCGGCCCTGAAACATACCAGAGTCACCAAGCACGGTGGCTTCAGTGCAAGGGGAGGATCTGTTACCATCTCCTCAGCCACATGGGGAAGAGCTCTCCATGTGGGTCGCCCAAGGCATTCAAGGCACTGGGATCTATGCACCCACCCACCCCACCCCCCGCCCCATCTGGGCAGCCCTTCCTAAAGGGAACATGGAAATTAAGGCAGCAGGACTTGGCCAGCTCCTTCCAAGGCTGACCAGGAAGCAGCTGAGCTTTGCAAGAGTGAGCATGGTGGCTTCCATGGACTTCGGCTGGACTCTAGGATGCACGTGGGATTAGCAGTAGACTGACAACAGTGGCCCCACGGTCCTCCTGTGGAGGGGAGGGGACAAACTCAAGCTGCGGTGAGGCTCAGGGACCTCGAGAGCCTTGCGCCACCCCCCTTCCCTGCCCCCCACCCTCCCCCACCACCATGTGGTCCCTACAGAGAATCTCCACACCTGCCTCCCAGAACAGCTGAGAGACAAGCCCCCGCCTCCCTCTCCACTCCTCTGCGCCCCGGGCTGTGTAGGCAGCGTCCCTAACTCCAGGTCTCAGGGCAGTACCCAGCCCAGCTCCCGGTGCTTCTCAGTGCCAAGTGAAGCTGGCTGTGCTTCCCACCATCAGGCCCACCGGAAGTGGGAAGGACACAAACACGAGATATTCACAATGCTGCCGGGGGGGGGGGGGGGCGGGGGGAGCAAAGGCCAACACCGCAGCGCCTGCTGCTGGCACAGTCACCTCCACGCACCCCTCCCCCTGCATATCCCCTCATCCCTCAAGACACTTGGACCTGGAGTGGGAGCTTAGGTCATTTGTCCTAAAGACAACCCGGGTAACTTGGCTTCCTTCACGGCATCTCAGGCGGAGGAAAGGCACTTCCTGAAAAAAGGAGCATTTCCAGGGGACACGACTGTGTGCATTCATTCGAGATAATCCCAGGATCGTTTGGAGATGAAAACCCTTCCATAGCTGGCAGAGTCGGCTTAAAGTTGGCAGAATACCTAGCTACCAGCACGCACATGATTATACGTAAGCAAGCTGTGTGTTTAGATGCCACCGAGCTAATTAAGAAATACGCATTTGCAGAGGACCAAGTGTAAAGTGCCATGAAGCAGAGAGAAAATAAACTCTCCTTTCCGAGTTAAGGCAGAATCTCCAAAGTTCTTGAGACATCCTCTCCCTACTATCCCTTCTTAAATGCTTAGTTTTCTCAATGAATATCAGCAAATGAAAAACATTTTTAAAGCTCCATTTCAACCATGTTTTAAATCCTAATGTATTAAACTAGTGAAGCAGAGAGAATAAACACCAAGTAGGTCAATGGAAGAAATGGCACCAAGTGGATGGATAGGTGGGTGGGTGGGTGGATGTAGGGATGGACTGATGTAGGGATGGATGGGTGGATGCAGGGATGGATGGATGGATGGATGGATGGATGGATGGATATAGAGATAGATGTGTGGATATAGGGATGGATGGATGGATGGGTGGATATAGGGATGGATGAGTGGATGGGTGGATGTAGGGATGGATGGATGTGGGGTGGACATATATAGAGGTGGATAGATGGATAGATGTAGGGGTGGACAGATTGATAGGTAGATCAGTGGGTGGATGATGGATGAAAGGATGAGGGATGGATGGACAGATGTAGGAGAGATATAAAGGTGAGAAATGGCTGGATGCAGGGGTGGGAAGATGGCTAGGTGGATGGTGGATGGATGTAGGGTGTGGGCTACTGACCCTGCTGATGGAGAAGAGCAGCCCTGGGCGGTCGGAGCACACGCCGGTGAAGCAGAAGCGCAGCTTCCAGTAGAAGAGGTGCTCCCAGACGAAGGTGATGAGGCTGAGGGCCATGGCGGCTGCCAGCATGTAGAACACACCCGCCATGTTGTCAATGTCCAGCTGGCTGCTCATGACCTCATTCTTCTCGTTGTGGCAGATGCCCGTGAGCCACAGAGTCTCCAGCTCCTCCATCTCCCCTGGGCGAAAGACAAGAGCCACAGGAAGTGAGGGGTGGCAGAGGGGACACATCTCTGAGGACAAGCCTGGAAGCCAGTTCTGGAGCTCCCTGGGGCCCGTGTGCCGGGTGGGGGAAGAGGAAGCCAAGAGGAAGAAGAGACAGAGACCACGTGCTGCGAGCACCTGGCGGGGTCCCTGGTTTGGGGCTGAGGGTTGTGATCATCCTGATACACCCACCCCTCTCTCCAACATATGCCCAAGACTGGCACAGGAAGGAGCTGGCGGCTGCCCTAGGCATGCCTGTGTTCCCTTTCTGATGCTGTCACCTGGTGCTCAGAGATGGCAGCTGCTGGCAGCCTGCCCGCAAAGTGCAGATCATGAGCGCCCCAACCCCACCTGTTCCCAGAGCTGTGCTGGGGGTCTGGAGCCCAGAGAGGTGGAGTCCCCAGATGTGACCCTGGCCAGTCGCTCCATGAGGACTGCTGCCTGGCACCACAGTAAGGCACCCTCAGGCCATGCCTGGCACATGGAGGTTTTCAGTTTTCAGACCCTCAAGGGGTCCCACACTTCTTCCGGAGCAATATTCAGGGTTCCCCCCGCGCCAAGTCACCCATAAGTAGGATACTGGAGACACAAAGCGTTCGTGGGAGGGCGACATCCCCGCCAGCTCTGAGGGACCAGTCAAACGTGACCACCTCCCACTTCAGCAGGAAATGAAAGAAGATGGCAAAGATTGGCAAAAAGGCAAAATCCAACCCAACTCTCTCTCTCTCTCTCTCTCCTCTCTCTCCTCTCTCTCTCCTCTCTCCTCTCTCTCTCCTCTCTCTCCTCTCTCTCTCTCTCTCTCTCTCTCTCTCTCTCTCTCTCTCTCTCTCTCTCATCCAGAGGAAATTCTCTGGATCTAAATGTCTCACAATTATGCTAACTGTCTAGCAATCCACTAAACTCTGACAGTCTATGATTCTGCCTTTAGAAATTATGCTTCAGAGACAGTAAAAATCAAAGAAGGCGCATATACTGTTAAAAGGCAGTATGAACGTAGAGGGTGTGTGTATGTATCTATATACATACACACGCATATATGCACGCACACACACTTAGAAAGACAAAAATGTAATGAGATGCAGAATAAAAGATGAAAAGATTCCAAATGTTTGATTCTCTTGTCAAACATCAATCACAACTCCGTTCCTACTGTTCATCTCAAAACACATTCGGGAAACTAGAGTGGATTTTGCTTCTGGTTTGTTCTTACTCCCAGATGATCTAGTGGGACAGGAAGTGCAAAATGACAATGGTCTCTCCTGGGCCCTTGGAAGCTATTATTGAGTTTCTTCATCACCGAGGTGGGGAGTAAACCAGCAGCTCATCCTCTAAGTGGCATCACTTTCTCCACATTCTCTGTTTTCTCTCAGTTTCATTTAAGAGTTTTGCTCTGGGGCCAGGGAGAAGGCTCAAAGGTCTGGGCATCTGCTCTGCCTACAGGAGGACCAGATTCCAGCCCTGGTGCCATATGGTTACCCAAGCTGCGGGGTGGGCCTGCTATGGTCCCGAAGCACCCCTGGATGTGGGCCCCAAACCCAAACCAACAAAACCAAACCCAAACCATCAAAAAAGAAGAAAACAAGACAAACCATTCCATTCTGTCTTTGGGGTGGGCCCTAGGCAAGGAGGTGTTAATTGGCTTCTGCTCTGGACTCCGTGTACTTCTTGCATCTGATGACTCATAACTTTAATTCTGGAAAAATCTCACCCATTGTTGCTCTGTACTTGAACGTCCCACATCTTTCCTTCTTTGAAAGGTAATTTTCGGTACCCACAGAAGCGGAGAAGGAAGTAGAGTTCCCTGATACTCGTCTCCATTCCTGCTCTAAACCCCGTTGTAGGAAGCGCATCTTTATAATAGACCATCCAGTGTCCAACCTCATCATTAGCAAGACTACATCATTTACGTGATTCAGTCAACGGGTCTTGCTGATTGCTAAGTGACACAGTTCCCTGACCCTCCATCCAGACCCGTGGCAATGCCCTGTCTTTATATCCTCTTTCCGGAATCGCATGTACTTCCAATGATGTGCAAATGTCACTTAACATCTGAACATTCCGAGATGTGGGTTCTGAGGAGAGCTTGTCACTGCGTGAGGTCATGCAAACAGAGACGGTCCAGACCACATCATGCTGGGCACTGCGGGGTGCGTGGCCTGTAGATTCGGTCAGTGGTTGACCACAATGTTGGGGACAGCTGTGGTCTTGTCAGGCTCCCTTCACTTTCTCACACGCATTGAAGCTTCCTTCAAGTCTTCCCGTATCTTGAGTTTCATTTCCTGTTATCCTGGAATCATAAGCAACTGTGTGGTTTGCGGGTCCCTTTGCCCACGACATCTGGGTGGCTCCCCCATGCTGACAGTAATGAACAAGGCAGCCGCAGACACCACGGGCAGGGTTTTGTGGGGACACAAGTCTTCAAGGTAACCAGCCCAAAGTGTGCTTGCTAGGGTTTCTGGCTAGTATGGCTGGAAGAGTCTGTTTCCCACGTGGCTGGACTAGACCGGACCTCCCAACCCCAGGCCCCAACTGCAACTGAGCATTCCTGTCGCTCCCAACCTCAGAAAATTCCACGGCGGCTGTGCCATGCTGGGTTCTGTTTGCATGAGGAGAGCCGTGGTGAGCCACTGTCAGCCCCCAAATGATGGCAAGAACTCCATCTTCTTTTTCTCCTGACACTTCGGTGTAAAATATTCTGGACGCCGCGGTCTGGTCTCGAGGTTATTAACTTTGCTTTAATACCCCCCCTCCCTTTATCTCTGCCGGCTGCAAGTGCGAAGATTCCCACAGATCTTACAGTTCATTTAGTCTTTCATTAGGAATATTAAGTTTGATGATTTAATTTTAATCTATGTGACATTCCATGCCTCTTTAAAAGCGCTGCCTGTTCTTTTTTATCATCATGTCCTACTTAGCGAGCAGGCTTGGAAAAAAAAAAAACAACTTTCAGATATTTCGAAGTTTCAGACTCAGAGTGTCTCAGACCCCTTTCCCGACCCTTTGTCTAATCACCCAGGGACCCAGTCCCTGTCCTTGTGTCAGGGTGAGTGCACAGCCCCTCATGGCACTTGGCCCACTTAGAGAAGGCAGATCTCCAGAGAGGGGGTGCTGAGTGATGTTTTCAACTGGGTGGGACGTCAAGTAGGCGAGCCTCTGCTCCAGATTATGTCTTCACGCTGACCCGAGTCTGCTCTGGTTTTCAGTGATCAGCTTGTCCACTGGAAAACGGCGGTGCCATCCCCAGGCTCAGCCATGATGCTGGGGCAAGGCTTTGCTCTGGTAACTGCTTCCTGCATTTTACTTCTCCCGCATGCTCTGGAACGCTTCCCTGTGGCATATTCAAGAACCTGGACTCTGAAAGTGGGGCTGATGGCCTCCTCCCTGCCCAGTTGCTTCTGCTGCAGCATGAGTGACTGGGAGAGTCTGGGTGGGGATGAAGGTCCCTGCGGGGGACAGCGCAGAGCAGGAGGGCACACAATGCTTCCAGTTTCTGGAGACTGTGATGCTAAGCATGCTTGAGAGGGGTAGAGAGAGGAGAGACGGAGAGAGGAGAAAGAGGAGAGGGTAGGGAGAGAGACGCAAGAAGGTGTGAGAGAGGAAAGAGATGAGAGAGGGAGAGAGGAGAGAGGAGAGAAAGAAGAGAGGGGGGTGAAAGGGAGAGGGAGGAGAAAAAGAAGAGAGGGAGAGAGAGGAGAGGAGAGGGATAGGGAGAGAGAAGAGAGAAAGGAATCAGAGAGGAGAGGGGGAGATGAGGAGAGAGGGGAGAAAAAGGAGAGCGGGGAGAGAGAGTGAGCAAGAGATCAAGGATGAGAAGAATCTAAGAAAAATCTGCCGTGTCTAAAGAGGGAGGAATTGGTTCCTCCTTTGCCCTCAGATCCAGCCCCAGTCTTTCTGGAAGAAATCACAGCTGCCTTTCGGATGAGATTTCACTGTTCTGGAACCCAGAGCGCTAAGGGGATTGCTCTGGGAAAGGGATTTAGGGCAGCCTGTGCAACTAGCCTTTGGCCTTCCTGAGCATCCCTCGTCCAGGGGCAGCTGTCAAAAGCCCATTAGTTACCAGTCGCCTTTAGGCTTTATCTGGGGACCTGGGGGTTTGCTGAAATATGTCCTCCACACAGATACCCCAGCAGGCACATTATTATTATTATTATTTTCCTTCTCTTGGTTTCTGACCAAAGCAGCTGACCCCGGGCAGGGTGAGTGTGGAGTGATATGAGGTTTTCAGAAGTTGGATTTGATGCTGAATTTCATTTTCCCATTCCAGAAAGTGCATCCTTTGGGCCCTCTACAGACTTCATTGGTTTTGCTCAACTCCTGTCTTCTTTGATTCGCTATATTAAACAAAAAAAGGGGGTGGGGTGGGGTGGGGTGGGGGGGGTCACAGTTTCAACCGTTTCCAGCACGGAGCCCAAGGTGGACATCTGCATTTGAACAGAAGCCATGAGCACCAAGTCCCTGGCTTCCGGGGGCTCAGGCTGTCACATGTACCAGTACTTGTGGCCAGGGATGAGTCAATCTGATTGGGGCTAAAGGCAGCAAGAAGGGGGGTGTCTGGAGATGGAATTCAGGGAAGGAAGACCCCCCCCAATCCATCCAGCCTGAGGGCGGGGTCCAACTAGCAAGAGATTCCAACTGTGGCCTGAGGGGCCACCGCAGACCTGCAGGGCCCTGGCAGGGCCCAGGGACGTGCCTGCTTCACCCCATATGCCTCGATGCTGGTCCCCTTCCCTTCCTCCAGGGTCCCGGGGCCTGGCGGGGAAGAGACAGGCCGCAGGGACAGAGGCAGCGGATGCCTCTGCAGCCGCCCCATGGAGAGAGGTCACCGTGGCCGCTGCCCTGTGACGGGGGGCGGGCGGGACAGGCAAGGGACACGGTCCTGGCCCCGGGGACGGAGTGGCCAGAACTCCACGTCCCACCAACTGCCTACAGGGATCCACTGGCACCATCAGTGGACTCTGCATCGCACACGGTTCGC